TGTCTGAGGTTCTGGTGGTCTGTCTGAGGTTCTGGTGGTTTGTCTGAGGTTCTGGTGGTCTGTCTGAGGTTCTGGGCTTCAGCGGGCCGTGTTCGGGTCGGCTGTGAGCTGAAGGTGTGGGTCTCCAGCCTCCTCCCAGAGCAAACAGTGATAAGGAGCTGCAGCAGGACTTTGACCTCATCAGGCTTCTCATTAACCAGCTGAGATCAGCTGGAACAGCAGCCGGGGGCGGAGCCAGCAGGGTGGGCGCTGTGATTGGAGGACTAAAGAATGCAGGAAGTTACAGTGAAGCTTCATCCTGACAGACTGATGACTCACACATTTGACTCCTCTGGTACATGAGCTCTGGTTGGAGGTCCTGGACCTCCTCGAGTCTCTGTCATGGTCCCACTGCTGCTGAACTCCCACAATGCTCTCTGCTGTCTGTAGGCGCCTCCTCTGGTCTCTATAGGAGTAAACAGGGAGAGGCTCCTCCTGGTGGAACAACCTGGTACTGCACCACGACCAGTTAGTACATGAGTTAACTTATCAACCAGAAACATTTCATTCTTCTTCATCTCCTCCTCCTCCTCCTCCTCACTCTTCTCTCTGAGCTCATGTTTCATGGCTGCTGATACTGATTGATCACACTGATTGATCACACTGATTGATCACACTGATTGATCGGTGAAGTTGCTGCTGGAGCTGTTTGTTGTCTCCATTCTGGGGCGTTCAGATGGACCACAGTCTCCTCACAGCTGGTGTTTCTGGATGTCCAGCCCAGACCAGTGTGTGGGTTCTTTGCTCCCTGATCGCGGCCTCGCAGGTCCTTCTCCTCCTCAGCAGGACGTCCTGTTGTCATGGAGTCCAACTGGAGTCCTGCTGAATAAAACATGGAGTCGTGGGAAAAGTAATCACACACTGTACATAGAGCGACTCAGCGCCTCATAAATCAGCTGCAGCCCGCTTTGTGTGCCGGGTTTTTAATTTCAGCCTGGACCGACTCTTCCCTGCAGCCGCTCACCAAGGTTTAATGATGAGTTAATGAGTCGGACCTGCTGGTCGGTCAGAACCGTCCCGTTTCTGTTCTCTGGACTTCAGAGTGTCTAGAAACTGACTGAAAACTCCTAAAATAAAAATCCTTTTCCTGCTTTATTCACCTTCAGATGTTCAACAGAAGCTTCAGCTGGGTTCACAGACGACCCGGCTGGGAGTCAGTCCCCAGATCAGAACTTTTCCTCCGACCCTCTGGACTCTGAGCAGGTTCTGGATGTTTCATTGCTCCCATGTCCTGGTCCTTCACTGACGTTCATGTTCACTATGAAGTCCTGCAGCTCTGAGGAACCAGAACCACATGAAGAACCAGAATCAGAGTTTAATTCCTTTTAATAAATGACTCCTACAAACGGGTCAGAACTATTTTAATGAACTGTTGACGTGTTTCAGCCTCAAACTGTTTCTGTCACGCTGACTTCAGTTTAAATGGAAAACAGGTTCAGATGAAACCTTCACAGAAACCCGCTCTGTCTGGTGTCCTGGTTCTGATCCACAGCAGTTTTCTGTACGTTGATCTGTGGTCCTCTGAGGCGTTTCTGTGATTGTTGGATCAGAACCAGCAGTGACTCACATTTCTGACCTTGTCGGGGAGAAGAAGGAAGTTTGGTGTTGATCTGCCCTTCAGCGCCTCGGCACCGTCCAGCTTCCCTCCAGAACCGACCAGCTGTCCACTCAGACGCCCACGTGTAGCCATCACGCTGAATGATGCTGCCGCCGCCGTGCTGGGAGTCCAGTCCAAAAACCTCTGCACAGATGAGACGCGATGTGGCCCAAGATCTGCTGCTCGGTTTAGCTTTTACAACCTGCTGCTTGGATCAGAACCAGTGAGCAGAGGAGCACAGAGCAACATTTTCTGTTGGACCTTCTCTTGTTTGAGGATTTTCTCATGTGTTTGTTATTAAACTGTGAAGGTAAATCCACAGTTTGCTCAGTTTCAGACAGAAAGCTGCTGAAACCTGCTGCTTTGAAGCTAATGACCTGTAGCATCACTGCTAACTATGTGTCTGTTGTGTTGTTGCTAACGCTAACTGTGTGTCTGTTGTGTTGTTGCTAACGCTAACTGTGTGTCTGTTGTGTTGTTGCTAACGCTAACTGTGTGTCTCCTGCAGCGACTGTCCACCGTGAAGCAGCATGAACGGATATGAGACTCCAGCTCTGGCCTCGGGCATCTTCGGCTCCTACAGCTCCAACATCAAGTGAGTGTGCTAGCACAGTTAGCTCGCCTGTTAGCGTCTTTGTTAGCGCCGTTAGCCGCTAGCTCGCCTGTTAGCGTCTTTGTTAGCGCCGTTAGCCGCCAGCTCGTTTGTTAATGGTGTTAGCCGTTAGCTCGTCTGTTAGCGGTGCAGCTAACAGCTGGATGATGGTGGATGTTTTCTCCACCACCTTCTGACTCTAATGTAGTTTTTATTCTATTTTTTTTATTTTAGTCGTCAGCAAAACCAGAAATCAAATAACTTTTAAATTAAAATAAATTCCAAACAAGTCAAATGTAGCCATGAACATTCCTGCTGTGTCACACTGACATGCTAACATGCTAACATTAGCTAACAGCTGCTGGAGTCACAGCTGCACAAAACAAGAGTAAAACCTTTAAAGTTTATCTTTAAACAAATAGACAGAAAACTGATTCTGTGTGTTTTAACACAGTAAAGGAGTCTTTAAATGCACAGAATGACATAAACAGGACGTCATTATGAGGTGCAAAATTTAATCTGAACTTATTTTACTGTTTTGTGTCCCATCAATGAAAATCAAATAAATTCCAGCCACAAAGTTAGCCGACGTAAAAACCTCTAAAGTCCTGAAGCAGCTTCACTCCTCACTGAAGGATTCTTGTGATTTAAGTTTTGCACATTTCAAAGTGAACTTTAAGGAGAAGCTGTAAATATGCTGAACATGTTTTACTTCATGTTTGGTCTGAAGGGGAAATAAAAAGGAGAGAACTACAAAATAAAACACTTCCATAAACGTAAATGATATTTATAT